TTCCTTCCTTCCTTTTCCTTCCTTCCTTCCTTTTCCTTCCTTCCTTCCTTTTCCTTCCTTCCTTCCTTCCTTCCTTCCTTCCTTCCTTCCTCTCTAAATAAAGATATTCAAAGTCTACTTTCTTCAAATTTCCCCTTTAGCTCTGAAACTTTGAGGACTTTCTTTTTTCCTTTTTTTGCTTTACAAAAACTACCAGACAGTAGAAATCTTGTTGTAACCTTTGTGCACTAAAATGACTTTTCCTATACTTTGAGGTATTAACATTCATTGGCATTGCATCAAGTATCACAAGTATCCATTGCATTGGAATGTATTTATGAATATATATTTAGTAATACATTTTTATTTAGGATGTTACTGAGTCCTACCTCAAAATCATATATTTCTATATGCTTAATATGTGTGTGACATAGATATACACCAAAATGTATACACCAAATCTTTTTATACTTGCAAATATATTTTTGGCTTTTGTTCTAGATTACATACAGCAACATCCGGTGGGTCATATAATTTACCTTCCTTTGTACGAGAAGCACGTTCCATTTCTCTAGATGTCTGTGTATTTTTACGTCACATTGCACGTTAAAGGAGCAGTGATTGAAATCATTGTTGTCAAGAAAGAATGTATTAAAATTATTAATAAGACTTAAACCCACAAGAGACTTACTAAATCATCTGATCTGACCTAAATTTATGACCCTTTCTCCCAGTTCTTCTCTTTGCATACTTGCACAAAGAGAAAATGATCTAAAGGAGAAAAAAACCCACAACCATAATAAAGACCAGAGAAAAATGTGTATTTACATTAAATGTATGTAGTGTTGTGTGATTATAATAATCGGAACAAATAAACTGTAGGGATATTCACATCAGACCTCATTTCAAGCTGAACTATTATAAAGCGATTAACAGCCTCATACTCCTGCTTTAATTAAGTTATGTTGTGAAATATTCAGCATTTGGACCTGTTCTGGCCTGCCTCTTTTATCATTGAATTACCATCCTTAATGTGTTTTTTTGCTGAAAGATGAATTTCATTTAAGGATTACTGTACACTGCTCTGGCATTTTGTGGTTTCTTGTCAGCCCTGGTGAATCTAGATCACAGCTAACTTCAGTTCCTCTGACATGTCCTATATGCACAGTCTCTTGACTAGCCTGTCTCAGTGGATTTATTAACTCATATTGTATTCCTGTAGAAATGAATGGACATTTTTGATTAACTTAATGATAGAAATTTCAGATGACAGTAGAGTTTACTTTTGGAGCTAACTTCAGGTTATGTAGGCCACCGCAGCTCTCTAGTGACCTATCGCCTAACAGAAATACGTTCTGAAAGTTTCAAGGCAGTGGACATCAGCCTGCGAACACTTCACAGCAGTGCAAGAGAGGTCGGAACGGAGCAGTCTGTGGGATCTAGGGTGTCTAAACCCAGAACCACCCCCTGCATCTGCGCTGCCCTTTGTCCAGGTTGATTTCCAGCTGATACTCCAGTAGGCGCCACAGCTTCTGCCTCTGGACAAATTCATAACCCCCGTAGGCCTTTCAGAAAGGGCCCATGGGAATTGCACTGGTTGTGATGGATACTGGGCTCTTAGCATCGTGCGTGCCTTTCTCCTCCTTTTTCATTATCCTTTGATTGGATATGGGTGGTGCAACTCAGCACTGCACCGTGAGTTTTGGTGGGGCTTTCCATCCCCCGCTGATCAGTATGTGTTTTGAGGAAGAGGAGGTCATGCTCATCAGTACTTTCCATATTCTCACAGCTAATCATATAAATGTCCAGAGAGGGAGAAAATACATAAGAAGGGCAAGCAGAGTGAAAAAAGTGGGCAAAGAGTGATGCCCTGATGCCTTGCTGCTTTTGTGAGACCGCTGGTTGCCTTAATTTGTGCAGAGCAATTGTGTGAAATACATTTGTGTCTTAGGCAGAAAGAAATGCGGGGCTTGTCCTCACCAGGGCTATTTCCTGCAGCTGCTGTGTGTTTCTAACCAGTTGTTCTGAAGGAGAGCCCTTTAACCCACGAGACACTGATTTTGGAAATTCAGACTGCATTCAGACTGTGTGTTTTACCCTCAATTTTAATGATATTTCCTCATTTTAAAAGGTATAAAAATGTTCAGGATTGATGCAAATGAAAGCTGACACTGAAATGAAGCTTCTCATTTATCTATCATTCCCGGGAAAGATTTAGAGATACTTTACCTATTTTCTTAACTCACCTGAAAACAGACCTCTCCTAAGAGAATTGCTTGAAATAGCATCAAGCGTGGCAAGCTCGTGACGTTGGCACACTGCTAGTTACACAGTTTCTCCTAAAGTGTAAGAATAGCTGAGTAAATATGAACTGGAACACGAGCAAACTGAGCTAAGCTTAACTTATCCCTGCTGGAAAAAGAACTTGTATGTTGTGATTTTGGATCTGATGTACTAAATTGGACTTTTTTTCTACAGCAGAAAGAAATAAAAAAACCACAAAACTACACCAAAGATTTTTTGGGCGTGTGTGTGTGTGTGCTTATCTTAAGTTTGAAGTTTCTGTGGCAACCTTAATTGGTGAAGAGTCATTTCAGACATTATACACTTGGCTAAAGGAAATGGCAGGCCCTATACCAGCAAAAGAGTTATCTGTATTCAGTGAAAATGTTATCTATTTTAAGTGGAAGTATTTAGGAAGAGCGTGCTGCTACATTATAAGGATATAACCATATCACCAATCCCTTCCTACTGCAAACAGTATTGGTACCTCATGGGAAAAACCTAGTTACACAAAGGTCTTGCAAAAGGGAAAGGTTAAAAAGCTCATATTTGAGTGGGAATATAAAAATAATACTTATCATCAGTTCTAGTTAAAGATAAGAGCTGCTTTAATTGTGTGGTATGTGGCAGCTTACATTGTGAATTCTGTTCAGCTTGTTTGAAGAATGAACATGAAAATGGTTAAATGGAAATTCTGTCTGGAAAAAAAAACAAAATAGGAAACAACAAAATAGGAAAACAGGTAACTGTGTCAATAAACTAGCTTTAAACAACATACAGAGATACACCTTATTTACTCTGCCTCATCTACAATTCAGTTAGCAGGACAAGGTTATTTTAATACTGTAGAGAGATAAGAGACTAAGAAGTGCTTGTGGGTAAAGGAGAAAAGGCTTCTCAAAGAGAGAGAAATACAAATACTCGTTCACAAAATTCTCAGTAAGCATTTTTTTTTAATCAGCTTTGCCATTTTATTGTTTAACCTACCCGCCTTGATCTCCCTACTTTTGGTTAATACGGGAGTCAATTACAGCTTCATCTGTGCAGAATTAACTTTATAGAATATACACTGGGGATTTCTCTATCTTCTCTGCTTAGATCTATGTCATAAAAAAATATGTAGTAGAACTGTGTGCAAGTACTGCATATGGTACAGGCTTTGCAGATTTATTGTAAAATCATTTTAAATCGGTTAAGCTCTTGCCAGAAGTTAATTAAATATGTTCCTTTGGTGGGGGGTGGGGGGACTCTGTGTGTGTGTGTGTGTCTGCGGGGGGGGACTGTGTCTCACTAGGTGGCAGTGTGTGATTACATCTGGAAGGACCACGCCAGCCAGCCTGGTGTCTCCAGCTGGGACCTCCAGCACCAACGTGAAATCTCTGACGTCGCAGCTACCTCAAGGGACATCACCGTCCACGTGGCCGTGTACACTGTCCATCTCAGCGGCTTCCAGGAGCTCTACCGACATTTCCTCAGGCTGCCTGATGGGGCTATCGTTGAGGTAGGTCCAAACAGCTTCCTTATGTGCTGATTTTAAGCGTAAAGATGTGCACTTAATATATAGGTCAGTGACAGGAGAACGGACCCGTCTGTCTCTTCACAGAGTACATTCTGACATCTTCCACATGAAGACCTCACTCCTAAATAGCAAAGTGTAAAATCAATGAGTTAATACGGTTATAGTGCAACGTAACAGTTTAATAGTGTTTAAAGACCTATTTAAATGCAATTATGTGAATAAAATATACAATAGAACTACACATTTCAATTATTTTATAAATATGATTTATTAAGATATGCATATGTTCACTCTGCACAGGAATTATTACATATAAATATACAATGTAACTGTTTTGTCCATTTATTTTATATTCAGGACTACCGGTATGGTCATCTGCTTAGCTTTTCTACAGACACACAGAGCTGATGCACAGTTATTAGATAACTTAATGGCGTATTGCAAGTTTGAATCCCTGTTGTTGTCACACTTCTAAGCATGCTAAAAGTAGCTTGTTTGCTAAACCCGAGTGCAGAAAAATATTTAAAAGCACTCTCCACCATAACCTCTTTCATAACCTGCTTTTAGTTCACTGTCGGTTAGTGCTATATACTTACAAAGGGCGCATTTCCTTGTTGCTTTTGATCTTGTGTTGAGAGACCTTAAAATGGCATCTGAGATGAAGCAGAATGAAAGAATATTACTTTGCCTACCCATATAAGAAGCAGGAGCATTCCTTTGCAGAAAACCAAAAGATGATGAAGATGATGTTTTGAGCTGCTCACTTCTAAGGTGTAGGTTTGAGTATATCTTTTCACAATGAGGAAAACATTGTTCCTGCTCCCTTAGTTAGTTTTTGAAGGCGGATTTCTGTATTAGAATATTATTAGAATATTTAATTCTTAATGTCTTTGCCCTACTTGGCTTTTTAAAGAAAATTTAATTTAAAGGAAACTGTCCTCAATGAATCCAAACATAATTCTCTGCCCCAGGACTTCATGATTCACCAAAGTGAAGACACCAGTCTTGTGGCCAGCCAAAGAAAACAAGAGAAGACATGTGACCTACATGAAGTATAACTTCCTAATTAAAGCAAAGAAACCTGCAAATCCAGATCTGTTACTCAGTCTGTCAAAAAGCTTGATCATTGGCTAGATTTTTGCTAGAATGCTTTTTGAGGCCAATCCAGCTCCATTCCTACTATGTTTCTCATTACAAAGAATATTTCTGTGGAGAATGGTTTTGCCTTTTTTTTTTTTTTTTTTTTTTGGCATTTCAGTCATGAGATTTCGTTCAGTTCGCACAAGGATGTGGAAGGAAAGGTTTTGAACACGTGAGACAATGTGAGACAATCTTACTTTTCTGCCTGGTCTAAGTCCACTAATCCTTTTCCCATTTCTTAAAAATAGGAAATATATTCCCATACAATATAAATTTGCCTTTCCAGATGAGTTATGCAGATACCACTCTGCATAACGAGGGAGACCAAGGAGTGTAGCAGATACCCGCTTCTTTCAGCTGCTAAATTGATGCTGACCAGCATCCAGAGAGTGCTACACTCTCTAGCTAGACGACTCTAGCTAGATGACTCTAGATAGTTACTTTTACTGTTTCCCACACCCGTTTCCCAACATAGTCCTTTGCTAAAATCCATATGATATAGTCTTATGTCATCATCTCAGAAGTCACACTTCTAATTTACGATGTTGGTAGATGCTTTACAGCATTTAAGCTTGTTAGATCAAAATACAATTATGTATAACACATGTACATAACAATTTCAGTAGAACATACATTCAAATCTTACAACTACGTGATAAAGGTTGTCGTTATACATTTGTGTGTTTTACAGATTGAAGCTTTCTACTTCATTCTCAAGTTAGGAATATTCTGTAAGTCAATGAATTTTAAAAACATATGCTAACTAGTGAGAAGTTAGTCACCATTGTGGAATGTTGAAAGGGTGTTCAACACCATCTTCTGTTTTCCCTTCCCTGCTTCAAAACCTCTATGGGGAAGGGTAGAGTGAGAAACCCCCATTGTGGGTTTGCCCTGGAACAAATTCACCTGAACTGTGCTACTTACTACTTTTGGTTCCCCTCAGGAACAGTGTTTGTTTTTTTTTTTTCCTCTCCTGTAACAAGACAAGTGGTTGTGCTTGAGTGGGTTAGAAAATGTGTTGGGAACTAAAATGTTGCATTACAACCTCAACTTTAGCTTTTAAGGGTGTACGAATGGGAGACTCGATGATGGGCTTTCTGGGATATTGAGTCTAGTCTGCTGGTTTTGTAGACAACTACATCGTGTATAAAAGCCTCAATACATCTTTTCGGTCTGAAATGTTACAGTAAGATAGATATTTTGTCCCCACTGATCCTGGGGAAAGATTCTTCCAGATCCTTACTTTCTGTTTGGTCAGAAGTGTCTTCCTTCCCTCCAGATTCAATTTATTCATGGACTTTTTGTATGTATTTATTTGCATCATTCTTTAGTGTAAACAAGACTTCTCCCTTCCAGGAGAGAGACTACTTAATCTATTTACAGAGCATAATCTTATCCATTTTCCACCAGAATGGATGCTACGTTTTGCCAGAAGAAAAAAAGAAAAAGCTCTCCTCTTGTATGTGCAGGCTTTTTATTCCTCTCCTCACCCTACCAGCAGTGGTGGAGAAAGCAGGGCTCTTCTTCCACCGTCATGAGGACAGGGTTTGTCATTTCTTCTCTCCCCCATCCTGTCTGTCTTATGAGTGTCAAATATGATCTCTCTTTCTTCATGATAAGAAAGTATTTTTCTCCCTATTAGAGATTGACAGCGGAAACATGATTCTAGTACCTGCAATGTGTTTTCTTGTTGTAGCCCAGGACCAACTGGTTTTTCCTATTAGAATTCAGTTCTTGTCAGTACCCATGCTACATGCAGTAGGTCTTGGAATTAACATCTGACTAACATACCACATATCTCACATCTCTCAAAAGTTATTCTTCCAGGCTATCCCCTGCTCAGCAGAGGTTACATTCACAGTTGTAGTTGGATTACTCTTTTGAGCATTTCTCCACCGTACTGTAGGCTAGATCATCATATTTATACAAACTGCCGTCTTGTGACTGCAGGAACATGTCCGGGGGAACAGAGATGATCTGTGGTAGCTGTGACTTGATTTGCCTTGCATATGTATCTAGCTGCTCTACAGGGCCCACAGATTGAGATACCAAGCTACATTCATTTCTTCTGCCTCTTGTTTGGGTGGGCTAGAACTGTTGTGCAACTGTGAAGTATAAATGGCTATTCAACATCATCCAGAAACTGCAGGTTGCATGCATATTCTCGTGGTAAACAGGCATGCCTTCCCTTCCCTTCCCTTCCCTTCCCTTCCCTTCCTCTTTCTTCTTTTTTTTTTTCTCTGCAGTGAGCCACTGAGGATGAAAATGCAATTATTTCAGTGTAACTTTATGTTGTCCACGATGGTGAGACCTCACTAATTCGGGAGCTAATATATCTCTGTCTGTACTTGTAATACTTTGTGTTGTCATCGCATGGCGGCTGCTGATATTGTAGATATTCTTCAGAAATAATAGCAATGTGTAAAAATGAGAATTTTGAAGGAAAACAACACAGAAATAATAATAACTTTAAAGAGCATGGGCAAATAAATTTCTATTATTGAGCAGACACTGCCAATATGATCTGGAGGTTATTACTATTCAACAAACTGAGGCGTGAAACCTAGAAAGCTCTGGAATATTGGGTTGACAGCACATCTGTCATCAAACACTGATAACTGATATAAGCACAGTACCATAAACCTTCCTCAGACTCACTTGTTCAGCTCATGGTGAACATCTGAAGATATTCCTTGACTGTCATGAAAGCATTTTTGTGTCATATTACTGTAAAGTTTTTGACCATATGTAATGAATGTATATTAAAAACTAAACTTACTCTTCTGAACTTCAGTTAAAGCAGTGTTGCTTTGCAGCCCCAGTGCAGGAAAGCACTTTAGTGTGAACTTCACTTACTTAAGTCAAGGAGCTAAGACTTACTTCAGTAGTACTTTTAATTTTTTACTTTCTCATTTTCAATTTTTAGGTGAGGCATAAACTTAGGTGTTGAATCAGGAGTATACCTGCCACGAATAAGTGTTTCTCTATGTAATAAGTTTTTTACAATATTTATATTCTTCCAGATGTGATATTCTTATTAAAAGACCAGCATAAATACAAATTTTATGTCTAATATATCAATATGTCTAATATAAAAAGTAGTTTCATAGGTTTCATAATCACAAGGCAAAAATAACTATTTTAAATGGAACATTAAGGGCAAGATGACATGTGTAAATTGCCTTACAAGTGTTAAATAAAAAAGATTTTTTTAAAATGTTCAGCATAAAAATTATAGAGGTTAACCTTGCAAGTTCAGTCCTTTTATCAGAAGCACTGTAAAACTTAAAGAATTCACGTGCAATAAAAAACACTTCCTTTTTATCTATAATATATTTCCCCTTTATAGTGCTCAATTTAGCTATTACCTAGCCAAGGAATGACCTTTCAAAAATAAATCACTTATCATGCTTTCCCTCATTCATTAAACTTGTGTTGTTGTAACGTAGAGGAAATTATCAAGTTTTAGCAGTGTATTTGAAATCTGTGCACAAAAAAGCTAATGATAGTGATAAGTGTTTGCAGTCTATACTGTGATAACACCAACTCAGTGATTTTTATCTCAACTTTTGCTGACTGGAGTTCATTTCTTATTAAAAGGCCAAAGGTAAGCCACTCTAACTCAGAAAAAGAAACAGTTTCTTATTATAGGCCTCGTAAGCCTCAGCACTGTAGAGAAACTTTTTATAGCATGATTTTATCTATCAAATAAGTCTGCACAAATGTCAAGGATTCATCCAATTTAAATTTACTGGATAAAAGAGATTTGTTGTCCCTAATTACTTGAAATTTACCTAGTAGTAATAGGATAAGACAGCGTAGGTGACTACCCAATTACTTACTTTAAGCTATTTACATCAATCCATATGCTATAAATTATGTCTCAACTCTCATGCACCTCTGGAAAAGTGAATAAAATCATATAAGTTTATTTTGAATACAAGATCAGATATGGTATGCTGAGTGACACTTAAAAAGAATGAAACAGTAACTGCAGCTTATTTTCTGAAGCAATCTTGACACTAATGCTAAATTACAGCTTGGAAACATCTAGCATTTTTACCTTTATGAGAAAAGGCTTTTTACATATTTAACATAATTCTAGGGAGAATATACTGGAATTATGTATAAAGATATGTACACTGTAACCAAAGGGCATGTATATTCCCCAGTAGAATACTTACAACAATTTTATTGCCATTTGGTGTCATTTTCTAACAGATATAAAATACAGCCAGTAAACAAACTAGAGTTTAGATTTAAGCTGACAGCTGTTCCTTCCGAAGCAATATTCAGATATTTAATCTTAAGCATACTGAATATTTTACAATTGTTTGAGCAAACTATACTTTTAGCATGTGAAGGGCTATGTGCTTTTATATACAGTTCTTGAATGTGATAATGACATTAAAAAACAGCCTTAGAATAATCTACACATTTGTTGTTCCCATATATTCCCTGGGCAAATCTACAAATTGCCTCATGTTTTATTCCTAATTCCACAAATTCTTTTTATATATGTAATGTTGCTATGAATATTGGCCTCTATTTTTTTTCCATGTGTGCATAAACCATACTGTAGACTCCAGTGGAGTTTACGTCTGTAACTGAAGGCAGATCTTTCTGGCTGTAACTCTGTTAAGTGAATAATCTGGCCAAGTTTATCCACAAAGTCCCACACAGTGCTTTCATAAGGCTGGGCAGGATTCACTGTGTGCTGCCTGGCTGCATCTAAGATCTAATCCTGTTCTGCTGAAACTAATTTATATTATGCAACTGGGCTCAGTGGAAGGACGATCTTTGTTTCATATCAACATTCATTGAGATACAATTGGGATAAGAGGGGAACTCTTATGGGATAAGAGTCAGAAAAGGGATACTCCCCTTGGCATAAGTGATCAGTTTAGTACAGACTGCAAACTTATAGCCTGTTCGTTGATGGTCATGACAGTATTCCTAGTACTCTGCAAGTAAACAGTAAACTAGACTGTTTTAAGTTTTCTTTACCACAATACATTTCTCATTTAATGACAAAATTGAATTAAAGATAATCAGTTTAAGAAAAAAAAATAGTTGTCCAAGCAGTTTTCCCCTCTACTTAAAAGGAAAGAACAATGAAATAGGCATTTTCTTGCAAAATCTTGCAGTGATATGCTTTCCTCTCACATTAATCCAGCTCATTTCAAATGTGATATGTCAATCCTGTCCTGAAACGTACCCAACCTATGACTCCCCTGCCTTCGTGATGTTTAAGCTAACCCATTTGTTAGGTGTTTGCTAGGGACCCGGAGGATGCACACACTGCCTCTGATCTGAGAGGTTATATCTGAGTAAATATTGCTTGGGTTGTTTACTCTTTTCAAGGCAGTTAAGTATCACACTGTGTCCTTATTTTCTTTTTTTTTCCCATTAAATTGAGACAGATTCTTAAATGATATGTTATCAACTACTACTACCACAGTTAGTCTGCTGCATATGGCATGCTTGAAATGCAGGAGGGAGCCTTGCAGCATGTGGCCCTTTCTCTTCTCCTTAGCTTTCTCCAAATCCCCGCTTCTATGTGCTCCCCACGGCAGAAACCCACAAAGTTGCAGGGAACAAGACACGTTTCCATCAAGGTGGCACATCCTGCTTATCTGTGGAAAGGGCTGTGGTCCAACAGAATGAGCGGGAAAATGATGAGACAGGTTCCACCACAGGCTCCCAGCATGATGCACAGGCTTCTAAAACACCAACAAATGACAGGAATACCTACACTGCAGCGTTATAGCCTGGTTATACATACGAACCCACAAATTTGCAGTCATGCTGGCTTCTGTTTTATTGGCAGAGCACACAGGGTGAGGAGGAAGGGTTGCAGACCTAGCCATTGCCCACAGAGATATTTTATAGGCATGGATATTTACATTTATTTTTCCATGGGGGTCCGAGGACTTAGAGCTATTACATTCCAGTGTTTGCAGGAAGGATGGGAGCAAGTTCTGCAAAGGTGCATCCGTTCAGTCTGAGCGAACACTCCTGGGATAAATGTTGTCATATCAGTGTAGTTGTGCTTAATAACAGAGTTTAGAGTTGATAATTAAAGAACTTTAAAAATGTTATTTTGTATTGAAATTTCAGTTCAAGTAGATTTTAAACTCACAGATCAGCTGTATTTTCTGAATGAGTTTATGATGTGAGTGTATAGCCACTGGTGGCTGAAAAAATGTATTTTGGTCTCTTAAATAGGTACAGACATTATTCATCTATCACATACTTTTACCTGAATCAGCACTAAGAACTGTGAAGTCAAAGGATAATTGCCAAAACAGCATTAACTTATTTTACCTGAATAAAAAAATAACCTTTGAGAAAGTACCTTGCAGCTACACAGATTGACAAAATGCATCAATTATATTTTTGCTCACTTTATAATTACACTGCAGTGAACTTTACTACATGGTTGATTAACTGTAAGGTTACTGCTATTAAGTAACTTTCAGAAAAAACAACTTGGACTTTAATTTAATAACAGTAGGCTACACAACATCTGATTGAGTCTAAAAACCTGACATATTCATACAAGCTTCAATTTGAAGTACAGAAGTAAACGATAACAACTGAGATGTAGCAGCGAGTTTATGTGGCTTTGGTCAAGCATGCTACATGGTATGTGCATGATCAGATTTAAAAGAGCTTTTGGTATTTGTTAATCACCACCAACAAAAAGGTTTTTTGCTTGTTAACTCTAGATATCCTCGGTGTCCACTCTTTTGTACAGAAGCATATAAATTAAAGTGTTCTAGCTCCTAGAAATCAGAATAAAATCTCCAAATACATCCAGATGGCATTTGCGTGGTATTTTCTCAGATTATTGTGAAAGAAAAAAAAACCCTGCTGTTTCTCTTAGCTCACTCATGGCACAGTTGTGTTTTTGTTCTTTTGTCCTTGTGCGTTGTAGAAGTGTTGCTGTGGAGCCCTACCATAATGTGATCTCTCTATCCAGCCTGCCCTGAAGAGAGTTTATGCTATGAGAGAAACAGATTAAGACAATCTAAATTTGGACTGTCTTTTAGTATAAGAGAATAAAACAACAAAAAAATAAAATCGCAGGTATTAATGTAAATGGTGCTTAGTTAAGAAGAAAGAGCAGTCTGGCGTGAGAAAACTTGCCCAGAACTCAGGAGGCCTGAGATCACTTCAGTGTTTAATGACAGCTTCTTATGTGAGCTTGGGAAAATTCCTTACTCTGTCTGTACTCCTCCATTACAGAGGTAAGAGCACTTCCCAGCCTCGCAGGATATAAAAACTAGAAGTATATCAACGATTTTAAGATGCTTCATCAGCAGGGTTATACTTGTATATAAAAATGCAATTTTTAGTAGAGATTATTCACATACATACTTCTCTCTCTGTATAGTTCATTTAAACAGTGCTAAATCATGCTGAGAATAGCAATAGTCTTTAAAACACCACCACATTAGTAAAGCAACCTCATTTATTTATTTTTTTTTTTGCTATTCTAGTGTTTGAATAAAAACAGCTAGACAGAGCTGAGGATCCATTACTTCTCAGGGATTGAAATTTGGTTTCTGCTGACATTTATCTGAGCAAAACTTTTCTTGCATGGGCACTCAAGAAAGTTAGCAGAAGCAGAGCCAGGGCACTCTTGTACAAAATGCCACCCACATTACACAAGCAGAGGATCTGACATGTGATGTGGTAAATGCTTATGAGCTGAGCTGGATTTGATGCAGTGTCTTGGCTTTATAACTAATTTCCAGTTCTATAACACATCATCTCCTCTTCATGGCCATGATTTTCTTCTTTGAAGGTCTATTCTTTGTTCACTCAAATCTTCTCCATGTGTCAAGAACATCATAAGAAGAAATTATTAAAAGCAATGGGAGTAAAAATCCCTATTCTACTGTTTTACTTAAGTATTTAGAGTCTGGGAAAAATTAGGCGAATTCACATTTCACATGTGTTTAAATTGCTAATCTCACTGCTGTATCTGTATTAGAGAATACATTTACAGTAACTTTTATTCTATAATATTTTGGCAGAACTGTTATAAAAATTGTTATAAGGCCTAGGAGTGGAACTGAACCATGAAAGCTAAATTGTAAGCTGCTGTAAAGCTGGGTTATTAGTATGACAGAATAAAATTTCACACGCACAAAAGCTTCTAAGCTGCAATATTTTGAAAGCAAGAAGAGAGGGGTGGGGAAGTGTTATCAAACTCATGTATGTTTGCTCTGATATTTCGCTGAATGCTGCCATAATAATGTGTTGGTTTTGTCCATTCTGTTCTTCAGGCATTTGGTGATATTAGTGGAATAATTCTTTTGTGTAGTGAAATGAGCACACTCAAGGAGCATGTAAGTGAAACAGGCAGCGGGCTGCATACATCTTCACGGATCAAGCTGAGGAAAAGGAAAAAGAGTACAGCAAGGTGGAAAGGTATTATTTTGCAGTTTGTGTACCTAGCTTAAAGACAAAGTCCCTATGTAAGCAGTGCACTGCAAAAGGAAACAGATAGTTTCAAACCATAATTTCGCTTGGAAAGACTAGAGTGTGATTGGTTTGGGCTGAAATTGCACAACTGAGCTTTTAGTGGGTCATTATTCTGGGCTTGTATTGTAAGTCTATTGCAAGAGTCCTGAAGGCTGAGAAGCTGTCATTCTTCATCCAAATTCTGTCACACTTTCCATTCTGAAACTCAGTACATCAGTGATGCAAGTCAGAGCAATCTCTCTTGAGTAAGAGCCAGCATTTAAAGCATGTTGAAGGCAGGCATAAATCAGCTGCTTTATTTATAATTAGGTAAATATCCACACATATTGGTCTGAGTGTGAAAGTCAGAATGCATTATGCTGCTATGTCCCCAATCACTCAGACTTACGCTGTGTTTTCCACAGTGTACTGAGAGCTATTGAACCATTTCCAGTGAATAAGGAGGAGCATGTGCAGATTAGAACCTGTCCACACATCTTAGCTGTAAGTGAAGTTGCTACTGATCAAAGATAGTACCAAAGTGCTCAGTAAGAGAGAATGATGGAACTCGCTGAGTCCTTAGACTCCATTGTTATTGCAAGGTATTGGTTTACTTTTGTTCCTTGTCCAAGGCTGCGGTGTGAGATCTGGCTCAGCTGGATCCCTGCACATAGCTGAGGCTGATCGGTGTCAAGGAGGCACCCCAGGAACCCAGAGATCTTTAACTGGAGGCAGGTTTTAATGCCTTCTCATGGACAAAGATGGGTAAAAGTATCTGATATTGTTGTGAAATCCATGATCATCTTGTCTACTGATGGAGAAAACTTGGAAAGTTCACAGGAGCACACAGGACAGATATTTTTTCAGAGGAAAACACAAATTTGGTGTATGGGCTCTTAATCATACCTCTCTTGCTGGAGGGAAGGGTCACTGTCACATTAAGTGTCAGCCATTTAATTATATCTTTATCTATATTTTTCTTTTTTTTTTCTTTTTTCTTTTTCAGGGAATCCCATTGTCTCCAACAAGAGCTAATTTTGAGAGGAATGAGTAGTCCACAGATTTGTTTGCATTCCGATTCGCATCTGTAGTATGATTATTGTTTGACAGGATTTACAGTTCTGGTATTCACTTCTCTGTGTGTAGAGTGTTGTGGACACATTGTCTTGCAAATGCTTCATGCATAGCTCTTCTCTGGCTTCAACAAGCATGTGAGTGGGGGGTCCTTGCAGAACTGGATCATAGGTTGGATCAGACAAATATAATTATTTCATCTGATTTTCCTTTCAAATAGTGGGACAGTCCTAGATTTCTTAGATTTGTTCGTACCTGCTTTCCACTGTGGTCATGGTGAAAACATCATTGATTTGCCTTTCAGGTTTCATAAATAAAACATTGCCAGTGTTTTCAGTAACTGTTCAAAGCACAACACAACACTATTGTAATTACTAGGTTGCAAAGATGCCCAGAAAAGGAACAATAATGGCTTAATGCCATGAAATGCCACCAGTTCTGTAGCCAAGTCCCAACAGGCTGCAAAATTTACAAGGTCCCAGAGGAGATCATTTTGCAGGGGTTTTACTATTGGTTAGATGTACTTCCCTGGGAGCTATAGCAGCTTAAAGTGAGAAAGAGGTTATCCTTATGTCTTCTTATTAGTATTAAAATATTATTTATAAGTTCCAAACAAAGTCAATGCCTCTTCTGTTTGGTATGATACAAATGCATAAAAATATTACATGCCTTAAAGGGATGTAGAAGAGACAGCAGAAGGAGGAGTGGGAAGGGGAACAAAGGCATGGAAAACTTGCCTTATCCAAGGCCGCATAGGTCAATGACAGAGTCAGAAGTAGAGGCCAGACCTCCTGGCTCTCAAGCCAGTGCTATACCTCTTGGTCCTACCTGCATTTGGATCTTTTCTATCCTGGAAATGTAACATAGGGAATAGGGAATGTAGCATAGAGAATAGCCTTACCTCCGCACTATTTTGATTCATTCATGTACAACATTTTTCAGCAATTAACATAGCTGTCAGTAACATTTTTTTTTAATAAGTACACTTTTCTGGGATCCATTTTTTTCATATCTGGTATAGCGAAACCAGATGCATTTATCTTTGTAAGATCTCTCACGATATTTTGCATGTTGTTGACTAATTTTGATAGTTAATCTTAGAATAATCATTAAATGACATAAAATAACAAGCTAGAATTTTAAATGTCCGTCTTGAAGACAGTAGTTCTTTGGGTTTACAAAGCAACAATCTGTTTTTCTTTTTTCTCTGCTTTTAGTTGATTTGTGTGTGTGCATACATGTGTTTTTGTACATTATATCTAGACAGAAAAGGTGTTAAAAATTCCTGTTGATATTTATATGCAGTGATATAATTCTGGGAGGATTCTACTGCATTACCTGTCATTTGGATGACTTCTGTCTGTCATAACAGGAATAAAATAGCCTTTTTAATCTTTGTTTTGTCTGTTGACACTTTGTATGTATTTTTGAGAAAGAAACAAGCCAAAGAGAACATTCTTGTCCCTCTCCTCTCCTCTTCCTTCTCTTATGTGGAAGGTGTCTATCTATCTAAGCTGAAGAGTGCTTTTCACCTTTTACTTTGCCATCAAGTAACAAGTGAATCATGCAAATAATGCAACAGACATCAATAGGATTAGTTGTACGTGTGGTTGTTCTCTGCTATGTGGTATGGTGGTGATCCATAACCTACTCCCCAGGGGCAGCAATTCCAAGAAGGTAGCATGCTGCAGGCAGCATCATATTTTGCTCATCTTCTTGACCTTGGTTTTGTCTTTGGACATAACAAAACGTAAATGGTAAAAGTCCCTCTGGGCAATAATATAGCTTAGGTTGTCAACCACTGAGTTAAGATGTCCCAGTCTCGGTCTATGAAATTTTGACTTCAGTGAAAGTATCATGCTAGTATTTAGTCTGATAGCAAGACTGGCTTTATGAACGGAGGTGGAGGGCACACCTTAGTTCTCACGAAAATATGCTTATTTTTAACAAATGTGGATCTGGTGTTGCATTCTTATTCATCGTGAAGGACCTGATCAACCACTCTTACACCTTCAGTATGCTGGCACATTTCCACTGACTTTCATCAGATTTGGGATTTACAGTTCTGTGAAGGTGGATGTTCTTGAAAGCTAAATTTAAAGTATACCTAAATATTAAGTAAATTTACTTTTTTTTTTTTTTTTTGTAAATGTAGCATCTGATTCATACTGATTGCTCACATCCTGTGAATTCACATGGATGTTGGTCAGTATACAGTGGGTGGCATTTGGCTTTAAAATTGTAATCATGATTTTCTGAAGTGCTCTTAGCAATGTCATCCCTAACGCTCAGTTATAGTTTGGTACTAATTGCCTGCCTATGTAGTGTTCCTTTACAACAATTTTCTCCCATGTAGCTATATATATGTAGTCATTACTGAAAAGTGTAAATAAAGAATCCTTTTAGTGGTGTAGTTTCCCTAGGTACCTACTGTGCTCTTATTATCTAAAACATACTCCCCATCTGTAGTTCTGTTCTATTAAAGGATAAAGACATAAGTATGAATTAAAAATTAAAATGCTTGTTGTAGATTAGAGAGCAAGGTCTATTAGAATATATCTAGTGCTAGGCTCACAGTACAGTAGATAGATTATACTGAACACCAGTTAAGCAAGGGGATGAAAAATGAGTGATTTTCATCATTCAGTTAAATATAGTGCTAAGTGGTATGTGCTAGCATTAAAAGCAAATTACTTAGCACTTCACCAATCACAGCATGAAAGCATTCTATTGGAAGCAGTATTTCCAGTGATGCTCAGTCCTCAGTTTTATTAAATAAATCAACTGTTAATGCTGAAGGAAGTAGTCAAAGACGTATTGCTATGATAATAAAAAAGATTGAAAATGTAAAAATAAAGAGAAGCAGTACCTCATTTTAATTAAATGTCCTAAGAAAATCTCTCGCTCTATCAACAACAAATTTCCAAAGCACTGGTGGATCTGAAAGGATTTGCATCTCCTGTACCTTCTTCAGGGTTTTGCTTCTGACTAATGAACATAACCTTTCTTTTTTTTTTGTCTTTTTAATGACATCTTTTTCTCATAAATCTGCCGCGATGTCACTGAACATTTTGATGAGCTTTTCTGGTACTCTTATATCTCCTTGATAGGATATTATTATCCAGTAATCAAGATGAGGGCTCTGATTTTCAATGCAGGTACTTTGTGGCTGTTCAGTTAAAGTCAATGGCGATCTACAATTTTACACAAGGAGAGTTTTTGGCGTTGAGACTTTCTTTTATACTTCACAGCAGTATTTCCTCCACAGCCATGGACACTGGGAGATAGGAACCACTTTGGGGAACTGGTTCTTGCAATGCGTGTGTTGTCAGAACATGCAGAAGTTCTGAGACCATCAAGGGATGGTCTCATCAAGGTCTGAAATTCAGACCATCCCTTGATGTCAAAGTCTCTGCAGCCGAACTGTAGAGAGAAGTCTCCTTCCTCCTCCTGATGACTGGCATGGTAGGAGCGCCACAGAGCAAATGTCTTGGGAATGACACATGGAGGAGATGACCCAAGGCCTGAGACATAGCTGAATCAAACATTAACAGGAGAGAAAATTCCATTTCACATATCAAAATAACAAGATTAGTGAAACTACATATAAAATGGTCTTGAGTTCTCCATTTTTCCCTTGGTATCGTTCCTTAGAGATTGCTATTTTAAATTTCTTTCTTAGCTATGCTAAAAAAGCTGTTTTCTGCATGAAGAGCAGGAGTAGGAAGCAGAAAATAGAAGAAAAAGGAAAACTGAGGATCTCATGTAGTCATAGACTTGTAGAACTCTTCTGTGGATTAAATACCATCTCTCCTAGGATTCGTGGTAAAAAGTACAATCACAGATTCACACAGATTCACAGAATGGTGGAGGTTGGAAAGGACCTCTAGAGATCATCTGGTGCAACCACCAATTGTTTTCTTTGCTCAGGAGAGGAAAGATAGGGAGCAATCAGCTTAAATTTTGTTGCATTTTTTTTTGAGACAAAATAAACAACCATGTCTAAGAGATGAGCTGGATAGATTTCGTCCATTTTCAGTGCAAAGGTTGTCTGATGATGTCTTGAACTTTCTTCTGGTCCTACATTTCTGCCCCAGACAAGAACCTTTTTCATTTGTGTGGAACTTTAGTGAAATCAATACTGCTTTATACAAAAAAAATCTCTCCACCAGTAATCACCATAGAATAATGATGTTGGACTTGAAAGAACTATTCTGTTGAAATTTTTATTTGTTTCAAAATATTTCCTCATGGAAAAAAATGCATTTTATAAAAAATGTTCTAAAATATGTCATGTGAGCAATGCTTCTTTCCCTTGACATAGGACATTTTCATTCTCATTTCTCTGTCTTTTATTAGAGTGATGCATTCTGATTTTTTTTTTCTTGATTTACAACATCTTTATTCAAAGTACCTCCTAATGTGCAACTCTTAACAAAATACTTATTCTTTTTGGTATACATATTTAAGTACATTGATGATATTTAACCTCATTTTCAAAATGTAGAATTCGTTTTTCATTTTCTTGTTGACATATAATAGTTCTGATGCCTCTTTGCTGGGTATGCCAATCCTGTCATATACACTAATATGAAATAATGACACAGGGTTGATTTAACTGGACTTAATAGGGCATATTTCTAAAGCATTCTGTATGGGAGGTATGTGCACTGATCTTGCTACTTGTTAATGAAATTGGTGAGGTTTCTTATCTGCACCATATATATTTTTAATAGCCTCTTATTCCAAAAGCACAGGATCCTTGAGTAATAAATAATAAAAGTTCTAATGAAAGACCTCTGTGTTACATTGTTTCAGAAAAATCCTAGGAATTTAAAATGCAGTGGGAAATATAACATCACAGAATTTGAATGAACAACTATTTTTGCATTTAAACCAGTGGGTGAGTGTATCTGTATGTGTGTGTTTTTCTGTGTCTAGAATGACAGCAGGATGTTTTCTTGTGGTGAAGCTCTGTAATTTAAACTCTTTTAAAGCTTTCTCTGCTTTAAAAT